AAAATTTGGAATGTAAATTGCAAATCATCGCATATAATAATGTTAAATTTTGAAAGCTAACTTTGAAGTTTTCTACATTTAGATATATTGGCGAAATTTTTTAAATGTTCCGTGTCGAAGTTTGAAACTTCATTTGCAAATTTTCATATTTTAGTATAAATTGTGGAAGGCAACTGTTAGATCTTCTACCTACACTTGTTTAAGGACCAAAGTCCTAAGATTTCATTTCCCCTAAGATCATCTCTATAACATCATTAAAAAGGTTATTTACAAAAGATAAACTGTCTGCCGTAAGTTTCGTTGGGCCCATTCAATAGTCTATCTAATGGGACCCCCTTTCATGTTGAAAAAGATCTAAATTTGACATTAAATGTACTTTAAGACAATACAATGGGAGATAGCTACTATTCAGCATTTTTATGGATCAAACTTTTTTTTTATTAAACTTAAATATTACAACATTCTTCAATAAAAAGTAAATATTTTTACAAGATCCAATTTCTGAAAGTCACACTAATTCTGGTCAAATCAATTCAAAAACACACGGTGCACAATTCACAATAACAAGGTTTTGTTAAATAATATTAAATGATTTTTACAAGTCATATATTGAGTCTCAACTATGTTGATGTGAGTCGAAACAAGTTGAAATATATGATATAATTCTTCTATACGTATACGAACTCGAACTTAGACTGTAATGAAAAATAATAAGCGTCAAAACTAACTACTTGAATCAAGGGCCATTATTCATTCAATAATTTTTTACCTTTCGCCAAATTCAAGCTCCAAATCATATTGTGAAAGAACTTTATATACAACTATAGTGTGATGATTTTCTAGTTGAACCGAACAACTTCCTTATCGGAATGAATCTAAGAATGTCCAACGCAAATTGACACGACGGATCGACGAGCTTTATAAGAAAAATGAACTTTGTGAGACTTGGGAGACATTATTGCTTGTTTATGCCTTTCCTTGTTTCACTAGACAAACACTACACCACATATATCCAATAACGTGTTCTGCACTTTCTGCCACTTCCCATCACTAACATCATATATATTTCACAGCTGGCTCTAATGAAGAAGAAAACCCTTTATTACTCATTCGCTGTACACACAAAACCCTAGCTAATTAATTTTGAACATGTCTATCGTTTTCCAAATCCAGCTTGCCCAACGCCCTTATCACCTACCCTTCTAAGAGCACATGGTCACAGTAAATCAAAAACAGGGACTCGCGATCATCCAGCTAATTTGTTTCCCTCAAAATCTTCAGCTAGGGCAATATAGATAATGTCACGCCGAAGCATATAAATTAATTTCGTTTGCCCCACAAAAGTGTTCTGATGAATTTACGATTCTGGGGCATGCGACTGTTTGATTAATTAATGTTATATATATTGGCCTTCATCTGTTTGGCAACCGCTTCAAATTAAAAATTAATTCAAAAGCGACTTCTCACCAAAATGCCCTAATTAATCTCACCGCCCACTTTCTTGTATTGCACTTCATGCTACAGTCACTAATAATAATGGGTTCTGCGTTCCTGCTTACTTCCTCACCTGGCTTATCCATGTTTATGGCCTTGAACCCTCTAGGCATTTGCCGAATAAAGTAGAACCATTAATGTTTAGTTATTGGAATTTTAGACGATGAAGTATAACAAAGGCATAGCTAATTAAGCTGGAAAACGAACACCTCTGCGTTTTCTGATTTGGGATTGAGGAAAACGACCTCTTCTAATTTAATTAGCTGTGTCTTCATATATATTAGTTGTCTCTATAGCTTGATCATTATTCTCTGCTAACATCTTTATTACTGAGTTATTGAGTTGATCGAGCGTGGTTAATTGTATCTGCAATATTTTTGGGTAGAGTTTGGTAGCATTGAAAAGGGACCTTGTTTTCATCTGATCTAACAACCCTAATGAGGAGAGCTTTTGATGTTTGCTAAAGAAAACATTACAACATATACGTGCTTTTGGTTTCTCTCGCATCACTTGAGGCAAAATTTTATTAGCTAAAATTATACACCCGAAACAATAAAGATAAATCACACAGTAAAACATCAAATGGCTAGCTGACACAGACGCACTTCCACGTACTCACGCCATTGATAACATGTTAGCTTGGAGAATTAATATTTAACTACTATACTATATATAGTACATGCGACTATTAATCTTCTGAAAATAATTTTCATAAAGTTTATAAGTGAACACATTTATTGGGCCGATGGTGGTTCAACAGTCAACTCCTAACCATGCATGTGACAATACAAGATTATTTATTTGAATTAATCCTCCTACTCCGAATCTGACTTACCATATAGACGACCCTCTTGTGTACTATTTCTTTTCTGTATCTTTTTAAATTGTTCAAATAAAAAACAATTACTGCTTGCCCTTCATAAATTGAAGTTTGGCTGAACAGTGACACATAACAGGATTCCCCAACTTTTTCCAAATCGAATTCATGACCACTTTATGACGTCCTTGTCTTGGATTGCATGCAGAGGTTGACGTGTTTTTCATACACATACATATATATGATATAGGTGTATTTATCTTCCACATTTGGTTTCAACTATATCTACGCATGCAAGATATATTTTGTGATATTATTCAAACTATCGGTTCGGCCGCATGAAAGATATATTCATGCCAAACATTTATGGTGACAGTGAAATAACTTTACATAAATATATACTTGCTGGGATTGCGAGGAGTGGTCTTTCTTTTATATATATATATATATATTGAATTAAAATTTATAGCACAGGTATGTATATACTCAAAATTTCACACGCTTTGCCATTTTTATATTAAATAAGTAATGTGTTTTTAAAATATGAAATTGTTTCTGTATAAATAGAATGTACATTCTAACTCAGATTAATTTCAAGCTATGTATATGACTGGGATTAAAATGAATTTAGAGTTATACATAAATGACAACTACGACTAATTTAAATTATTAATAAGTTCATCATAATAGTGGTTTAATTTTTGAAAAAGTATTCTCCTCCTCCTATTCCTCCTCCTTTTATTTTAATCTTTCAAAAAATTTCTTTTAATCAAGATGGACTCTCCATTAATTTTACAAACTTATAATACAAACTGAGAATTTATATATATAAAACCTTGAATTTTTTTTTTAGTATTAACACTTAATAGCATAATTCAGTTTTAGACGGAAACCCCACCACTGAAAATTCAAGAAAAAGAGACGTGTTTTTAAGGGTAAAAAATGGAATAAGACAAGGAGATACTCTTTGTCATAACCGACTATTTACGCGCTAACCCATTTGAGTCAAACGAGGCGGCTAAAATTGAAGGAGCAAACTAAAAGTGATAATGAGAAGAAATTGAGGAAATGGATATATAGGGTTTACCGTAGGAGTAGGACATCGTGGAATTAATGCCCTTCCATCGCATTCAACACGCAGAGATATTTTACTATGGGCGCACAAAAAATATTTTATATTTGATACAAAATGTAATAGGCTCGAATTTGTACGTAGCAATTAGTTATAGTTAGGAGGGGTGTACCTTTTAGTTTCAATACTAGGGGAGATTAATTAAACTTTGCTGTCCAGGGATCTATTCCCTGTACACGCCCTTATAATTGCAAAGCTGCGATGGAATAGTTTTAAGACATTTCTCTGTATCAAATGCTTATGTAGCGTGGTGTTAAAATTCAACCTGTGCCGTCAGCCGGTCTCGCTAGTAAATCAGTTCTTTGATTAGTTTAGTGAAAAGTTTTGGACTTGTGTTAATTGAGTTTTATACTTTTTCGAGCCTGAAAATGACAACGTACGTTCTTACTTTAAAAAAAAAATGAGTTGATCATATTTGCATTTTGATAATTCTGTTTTGTTGGATTATGTGTGGTTTTTATACATGAATCTTTTATTTACTTGTGACTTAATATCTTCTTGTTTAAATAGTATCTCATGTCCTTAATATAAGATTTAATTGACTAATTTTGATGGCATATATGTATGTTATATAATCTCTCTGAAATATTTATTGGATTATAAATTAATTTATAAGTAATTTATTTAGCTTCTTTAATTTTTTAAAATTAATCAATTAAGACTTATACCAGAAACAATATTTTTATATATTTTGAGTATGTTATTTTGATAATGATCTCCAGTTCACCCCAATTTAAACTACTTACTCAGTTACTCTGGTATCAGTATTTACGGTACTTGCTATGTACACTGCATATACCAAGTCAACGGTGTAGAAATCAAGTGATAGATAGGTTTGCGTGTCGGTTATTGGGCGGCGACTTTTCACTTGTAAGTCTTACATTCACTTTCACACTCTTCAAAAGACACCGCTGAATCAATATACGTACGACAAATTTGGGTTTTTGGTGATTTTGGTCAAGAGCCTCACTCACACACACACACACACACACACACACACATTTTATACGCCAAGTAGCAAAACTATGAGAGAAAACCAATTAGTAAAACAATATACAGGCTTTCGATCTCCATAAAATTTAGTTAATCAGTATATATATGTTTTCTCCATAAAATATAAACTAATTTGTATTTCAGTCTATTACTACATTAAGTTTGAGAATTAATGAGTCACATGTTTATAGCTCAAAGCCAAATTTTCCGTGCAACAATTATTATAGTTTTATATTATATAAGCCATTTATATGCCTCAACTACACGCAGAAGAGATCATTAAAGAAGAAGAAAAATACTTTGGTAAAAAACAAAGAGAGAAAGAAAAAAAACTTTACTCTTTGTATCTGAGGGAGATAATTAAAAACTTGCGTGCACTCCACCATCATATTATTGTCGATTAGGACGAAATTAGATAATGTAGAACTTATACGTGGAGTCTATAAAATGGTTTTGACATTAGAAAGAGAGTGATGCGCAGTGGGAGAAAAATATATGATTTTTTTGCCCTCTACTTCTTTTAATTTTTTCCCCGTTTTAGAGAAAATAATTGAGAATGCCCAATTACTACTGTAATTGCGCAGCTTGATTTCTCTGCCTATATGATATAAGCGGGCATTAGACTTCGCCCATACCTTAGTGTCTGTTCGCTTCACCTGCAAACATCACTTTGGTACCTCTCTCTCCTTCTCTCATCGCTTTTTCTCCAATGGAGTTGGGAAGTATACTCCACTTCCTTCAGGATAAGACCATTTTAATCACTGGCGCCACTGGCTTTCTGGCCAAAAGTATTGCTCTCTCTCTCTCTCTCTCTCATCATTTCCTTCCTCAAAGGCTGCTTCTGTATATCAGTGTGTGTACTGTGATATATATATTATAGGCGGTGATATATCTTTGTTTGTATGGTTTACAGTTCTCTTGGAGAAGATATTAAGGGTTCAACCAAATGTGAAGAAGCTTTTTCTTCTTTTAAGAGCAGCAGACACCAAATCTGCCACCCATCGCCTGCACAATGAGGTATATCCGTACGAATGTAACTTCCACTTCCAGCTAAATGGGCAATTTGCTTCATACTTTTGATCACTTTCATTTGCCAAAAATTCTCTTTCATCCAATTAGCCTGAATCATAGAATAATATCAGCACCAGCATGATGCTTAACTTCATATCATTTACAAGCTTCTTCCCTCAATAAATATATGTGGGCACGGACATTCTTTTTGAAGTATATTATCGTTAAGCTTGTGGCTAACTTTCATTTCTCGCTATGCCTAACTTCAGATCATAGGGAAGGACTTGTTTAAACTGCTGAAGGAGAAATTGGGTGCAAACTTCAATTCTTTTGTTTCGGAAAAGTTGGTTCTTGTGCCTGGAGACATAAGTTGCGAGGACCTGGGCTTGAAGGATTCCATCTTAAGGGAAGAGATTCTCAGTCAAACAGACGTTATCGTTAACTTAGCTGCAACTACTAATTTTGATGAGAGGTGTATATAATTAACATGCATGGGTGGATCAAATCATTGATTTCTTTTAACGATCTTTATACAATTTTATAAATTTCTTCCTTTGTTTTGTCTTCTCTTTTTGAATGCAGATATGATATTGCTTTAAGACTAAACACCTTCGGAGCTAAGCATGTCATGAGTTTCGCCAAAAAATGTGTTAAGCTCAAGGTTCTTGTCCACGTATCAACAGGTTAATTAGCATAAATATCTTCACCAACCTTGTTTCTTTTATTAAATCATATTTTGCTTTTACGGGTATTTCTTGGAGTTTGTAAGGCTTGAATGTTGGTTTTTACCCAACTCAACTAGATATATCACCTAACTATCTCAGCTACTGTTTTTTAAAGGGTTGATACAACAAGATAAAGGGTGGTTGGACCTTTTCCACTTTATTGAGACAATTACCAGACTGGGTTCACTGTTACTCCCATCAAATTTCTCTATAAAAATATAATAATGTATATGTGAACATTTTTGGTGGAAAATCCAAGTAATTAAATTTATGAGGTCTACAATGATCATTAATGATTTTCTGTGCCTTTCCGCTGAGAAAGATGACTTGCTTTTCCGTTATTGGTACCACTTGTCATAAATTATGGGGGGCTGACATTTATTAATTAGCATCATTAATGCTTCGTCGACTTGCTTTCAGCTTATGTATCTGGTGAGAGAGGAGGGCTGATATTAGAGACGCCATATCACTTGGGTGATTCACTTAACGGAGTATCTGGTTTAGATATCGATGTAGAGAACAAAGTGGTTCAAGACAAATTGAATGAACTACGAGAAGAGAAAGCCAGCCCAGATGACGTGAAAATGGCCATGAAGGACTTAGGTATTGCCAGGTTCGTAACGTTATTATGCTTTTCTTCTCTCTGGATTTGCAAAATGTTGCGACAAAATCTTCTCTGGGTTTGCACGACAAGTTGTTATAAACAGTTACTCCCATCCTGGTTTTTCGCTTAAACGATTGGTTAAATTTTATTAGTTTATGGAAAAAACTGACGTACGTGTTCGTGTATTGGGAAAGAAAAAGATTGGCAATAATAAGCTAGCTCTTTGTTTTAAACTGAATATACGACTTCCGTTTCTTAATATAAGGATTCATTTTATTTTTATTTTGATTCTAAATATATAATTATAATTCATTTTGTCTCTCGTATTTGTATATTTATTTTAATATACTTGACTAATAAGGATATTTCAAAAAAACAATACATATTTATTATAAATAATTAACTTAACTAATTTTTTTAATCTATTTAAAATTTTCACCTTATATGGCATGAGGGGGCATTATTTTCACCAGTGGGAGATCAGAACTTCTGAAAAGGCAGAATCCTGATTTCATGTTTTCAAGGGTTATCGTGTTAACCAAAATTCCAGCTCCGTCGTAGGATTGGCCCTATTTATATGAAAATATATATTTTAAATGATAAAATATAGGATCGGAAATCAAGGATCAATTTTTAAAGACTTGTGCAGCATCATAAGTTGACCCCTATATTCAATATGAAATATTATGTAATTGTGTACAAGAAACCTTGTTGTGCATGCAATTTCACCAGTGACATTGAATAAACATTTGATTAAATGGGTTTAATATTATAATATTAGTATATAAATGTCATGCTGGTCAAAAAAAGTATATATATGTCACGATGTCACTTGGCTTATCATGGGAAACTTCTGGTGGATGAGAAAGTGAAAGGGGCATTTAGGATTATTGTGCCTTCAGCCACACAAGTGACACGTCATCCTCTAATGTGGGTGCTTATTGAATTTGCTCAAATATTAAGCTCCATCGTCACGAGGCACAAAGCAAGAATTGATGGATGGGTAGGACTGGATATAAAACTAATTTAGTTTTAGTTCCTAATTGATTCATTATATATACACATGAATGTATATTCAAATTTATTCTAATAAAAGAATTAAGAAGCTATAGCGAGCTAATCATAGTCATTTCGAGTAGTAGAGTTTCCACATTCGATTTATTTATAGGTTAATATATGAATGTGGCCCAGGTAGAACCAGAAAGTCATAATTAGTCTTGTTGGCTACAAATACTTCTCTTCATTATTCATTGTTAGTACAAATATAGCTAAATTTAAAAATTTGTTGTATTTTCAAACAAAATTAATACTTAATTTCGATAAGATAATTAGAAATATCTTATACTACCTCCGGTCCTTATTATAAGACCTGGTTTGACTTTTATTTTGGTCCTAAATATAAAACCTCAATCTACTTTGTCTCTCATATTTATGTATTTTTTTCCAAGATAGTTTTCTTAACAATGGTAGTTATAGTCAATACACTTAATTAGCAAGGATATTTTAGAAAAGACAACATATATTTATTATAAATAACTAACTTAACTTCTTTCTTTAATCTCCTCAAATTAGTCAACTAACTCTTATAATTAAGACTGGAGGTAGTAATAAAAATCGAATAAAGTGGGAAGTCCCAGACATTATTTGATCCCTCTGATATTGTGAAGCATTGTCGATGCTGGGTGGGTCTCATCATTGTTCTAAGCTTAGTTGAGAGACAGAAGGCCAACACACACCAGGTAAAATAAAGATTCGACGAATTGCGTTGCTAGCTGGCTTGATTTTGAAACCAAGTGTATTTATTGCCATTGGTTTTTGTAGATATGGAAGCTTTTGAATTTGTTATAAATACGTTACAAGATAGCAAAACTACATTATTTAAAATCCAAACCAAAGCTACTCGCCAAACATTTTTTTACCCAAAAAAAAAGGATATTTTTGGAAGTAGAAGAATTGAAGAGGCATATGATGAATTAAAGAGAAGGAAGATTTGTAGGTAGAGATGAACGTGAAGAGGGGGAAGTAGGTCGGGGATGGAAACAAGAAGGGAGAGTTATAAATTGAAAAGGACATATGATTCTCTCTCGTGCATAAATTTTCTGGGGAGTTGGTCACCCCATTAATGTCCCCTGCCTTCACCCTCACCTTTCAATTCCTTAACTGCCCTTGTCCCCCTCCCCTCTCTTTTCCTTAGCAAATCATACAATATAATATGGAATCATCAAGCTTAAACCAAAAACCAATATCCTCCTAATTCGCTCATTAATAATAATAATAATAATAATTATTATTATTATTATTATTATTATTATTATACCTCCCTTCTCATTACTATCTGATTTGATTATGTAAAAGTCATGATAATTAAACGTGTGTTACGTTGTATATTAAATGTTAAAATGATCAGGGCAAAGGTGTATGGATGGCCAAACACGTATGTGTTCACCAAGGCAATGGGAGAAATGGTAGTGGAAGATCTGAAAGGCAACATGCCCGTTGTGATTGTGCGTCCCACCATTGTCACCAGTACCCTCAAAGAACCTTTCCCTGGTTGGGCTGAAGGTATCAGGTACGTTGCATTAGAGTATCACACACATCTCTCTGGTTATATATAAATGTATGTATGCATGCACGTATCGTCACTTCATTGTCTTGAATCTGTTGTGATCATAATTATGATGGAAACAGGACCATTGACAGTTTAGCAGTGGCATACGGGAAAGGAAAGTTGACATGCTTCCTCGGGGACTTGGAGTCACCTGTTGATGTGGTGAGATAAGATGCTCACGATGAAATGAAACATTGCATTAATTATCTGTGATGGCTTTAATGAATGATGAATGACGGAGATGTGCAGATACCGGCGGATATGGTGGTGAATGCGATGCTGGTGGCGATGGCGGCTCATGCAAAGCAAGCAAATGATGACGGTGATGCCATATATCAGGTGGGTTCGTCGGTGAGGAATCCACTGAGATACCAGAATCTGCAAGACTACGGCTTAAAATACTTCACCGCAAAACCATGGATCAACAAGGACGGCAAGCCCATCAAGGTCGGCAGAGTCACCGTGTTGAGCAACATGGCCAGCTTTCGCAGATACGTTTTCATCCGTTACCTCCTCCTCTTAAAGGTTCCTCCTTCAATTCATTACTCCCAAATCTCCTGCTCTTCTGTTACCTTACTCAATTCATGTGCTTTGATTAACACGGTTTCATTTTGATAACAGGGCCTGGAACTGGCAAACACGGCGTTTTGCCAGTATTTTCACGACTCCTATGCGGAGCTCAACAGGAAAATCCAGGTTGTCATGCGCTTGGTCGACATCTACAAGCCCTACTTGTTCTTCTATGGAGCGTAAGTATAGATATATACTCTTCTTGTTCTTAATATAGGACCTAATTGTTGAGTTAATTTGATTCTAAATATAAGACTTATTTTTTATATTTATCAATTATTCTTATAGATACTCTTTCAACTATAATCAAGTAAGTAAGAGAGAGAGAGGATATTAAGGAAGATGATTGTGGTGTTTTAGAAAAAACATGTCATATTTATTATAATTAACTAACTTACCCAACTTTTTTAATCTAATAAAATTAATTAAGTATATCTTACATTAAGGATCAGAGGAGTATATACTTTTGATATCCTTCTTTTCACTGTTATTATTCTTCCACAGATCGATCAAATTTAATTTGTCTTGTATACATTGGGAAAACAGGTTTGATGATATGAAAACAGAGAAGTTGAGAATGGCAGCAAGAGAAGGCGGAGTAGAGACGGATATGTTTTACTTTGACCCCAAAGACATCGATTGGGAGGATTATTTTATGAACATTCATATCCCTGGCATCGTTAAGTACATCTTCAAGTGACGATGACGACACTGCTGGCTGTTTTATCATCCACATATATAATATTTATATTTCATTTCATATCATAATAAATAATATAATACATAGCTTTTCGTTTCTGAAACTTGTGTCTGTCTTAAGTTCAAGGTTAAGTCGTGCCCAACATACGGACGCTACATTACATGTTAGTGTTACATCATTTATTCTACCAAGTGTACTTCATATATATATAAAAGCAATCTTGCCTAATTTTTATCTTCTCTGTTCCTGCTTCTCTTTAATTTATTTCTTTGCTTCAAATTGGAACACCATAACGAAAATCTAGCTACCCTTCACTGAAAACTACTAGAGAGAGAAAGATGCGTGAATACGTGAGATAAAACATGGATTTTCTCTTTTATCCCCCGAAAAATTGCACACTTAATGCTCATATTAAAAATAATAAAATTATATGCATTAAATGACAAAAAGAAACTAGCTGTGAGTTGAGAACTTGTTCGAACCAAGGCCCGGGTGAGTGGACACTGCCGCGGCTGCACTGTGGGCTTCGGGCCCAAGAGTGATGGAGGTACTAATGTTTGTTCAATTTCTCAATACTGACCGACAAGAATTGGTCTAGTTGTAAGAAATCGACTCATAACTTATAAGATTGTAAGTTTGAATCCTTCTACTGATGTGAGGACCTTGTTGCCTCAAATATGATTGCTTCTAATAGAAAAATAATTGTAAAAAAAAAAACAAATTTCTTGATACTGCGTTGGCAATTTTCATTGTCCCAATCTTCAACTTGTTGAGTGTATTATTGGTAAAAGAAAACTTCCCAAACCATTGTTTGTAAAATTCCAAAGTTTCATATAATATTTGATAGGAGCATGAATTTGGGTTGTGAAACTTGTCCCGAGAACATGATAAGTGGCTAAAATTTGGGAAAAGAATTTAGATTTTGAATGCAGTTAAATTTACCTTCAGGTAATTTGAATGTTAATAAGAAGAAAGCACGAGTTCATGATTCACTGTCATGAACGTGAAGATTCAATTTGAAATCACACGTATTATAAGTGTTAACTTGAAGGGCCAACTTCCTCCAGCACGCGTTTATGACGCCAAGCCAATCTTCAAGCTAGAACTCCACCTGCATCATAAAGCCATATGAGGGACGTACGTACCATTATGATCCCCATCACTCGCTGCCACACAGTTTTACATTGTAGGCTCCATCCACCTTAACTCTGATCCATTCTTCACGCAGAATGTTCGTAATATATCAACCGTTTCTCAGGAAAACCTATAGTTTCCACACTTTACTCCAAACAGCTTCCCTGCGACTGCCAGTCGCCAGATGCCTCATATCATGCTTACCTTCTCTTCTAAAGATTTATAAGCAGCTTTCAGTGATCGATGATATATATTATCAGCAAATATAATACTGATTTCTCAATTTTTTCAAGAATGTTGTCAGATCATAGCTCCCTTCCATGTCTATCCTCTGCAGCTACTTTGATCGTTTAATTATTCCATGGGCCCAGGGAAGTTGACACGCTGCCCATATCGCTCGCTCATTTATCGCTATGTATCCGCCATCCCGCTGTCCCGGATGGTTTTCAAAAATTTTAGATGAAATTTGGCACGGAAAATAAATTATAAATTCCTTTGTAAATATGCCACAAAATTTTTGCAATGCCTTTAGTTGCATCCAAAAAAGTTTGTTGCAAAAGCAATTTACAACAGTTTTTTTTTTTTCGATTTTCATCACAAATTTCATATTTTGTGATAACATTTTTTGACCTGTACTTTAGTGTGCTCTTTCAACTTTTTTTTTAAATTTTTTTAAGGTAGGCAGGCGGCACTTATTGGGGTGTATGGGTTTTCGGCGTCCATGTTCACCTTGAACGAAACAAATTTTATTATTCAGTTGGCAAAAGCGAAAAATACAAACCATCTAGGTCATTTTTAATTGGCAGTAGAAAAAATAACTTATTTATTTCAATCTAACTTTTAGAAAAATTAGATTAAGTAATATGATTTATATTTGAATTGGTTTTTATAAAAATTAGTTTGTAAAGTAAAAAAGTTGTTTGGATTATAATTAAATAACTAAGTTTAGTTTGTAGAGTAACTAAAATGGGTATGACTTTTATTAAATAGTAAAAAATGATTAAAAATATGAATTTACAAAATATAATAATTTTAAATTATTATAATAGGAAGAAGTTATATTTAATAAATAAAATATTTTTAAATTAAAAATCATAGTAATGTGAAATTTTTTGAAACATTTAATATTACATAATTAATTGGATGATGTACTCTACACAATTTATGTAAATATAAAATAAAAATAATATCAAAAATAAAAAATATTATAAAAACTGTGAAAAATTATTTTCACTTAAGAGAATAATAAAAATAAAAAACTAAAATCTAAATGGGAACCGTAAGGAATACGTAGAGGGAGGCATAACCATAACATAAACATAAGGGTAAAAATGTCTTCTAATTCTAAAATATTGCTTTTGCATAAGTTATAAGTACTTTTGTTATTGTGTTTAAAAAAGCAGGTTTTAGCTTATAAGTTAAATTATCCAAAAGCTGTTTCAAATAACTACTAAGTTTGGAAATTAGAAACTGTATCACACCTATAAGCTACTTTTTGGCTGTTGAATGAAACGCCCTACCAAACAAGCATCTAGTTGATATCCATCTTATGTTCGGTCCCGTCAAAATTAATGTCAAGGAGGTGAATATCAATAATGATATCAATAATAGAGTTTAGAAACAACGTAAAGATCTTATTTTTCTTTGTCACAATTCAAGTTTAAAATGATTTTTGGGAAAAAAAAAATCAGTTACCCACAAAACCATGCCAAACATGATTTTTTTCCAATCCAGCTGCATTTTTTTTCTCGTGCCAACCAGCTTTTGTGACTTCCTAAGCAAACAAATTCTAAAGTCGTGAACATTATTTCATTTGAAAAGAATTCAAAACACATGAGTTCAACATTAGATACTACCTCTTGTTCTAATTATAAGACTTTATTTATAAACTATAAATGAGGTCGTATAATTAGGATTACAGGTGGTATCATGTTTTATTGGTGATTTGTGAGACACCACGTGCATGCAGTTTATGCAATTCATTTGAATCAATAACAATCTGCCCGCTACTTTCACCAAAAATATAGAACGAATTAATATTATCATCTCCATTATAAATGCCTGGTGATAATTCCTTGCATACTACTCACCAATTCACCGTATAGTACTATAGCTACCACTTCATTCCTACAGTATATGTGGATATGGCAAGCGTACACCACTTTTTCAAACAAAAGACCGTTTTAGTTACTGGATCCACCGGCTTCTTAGCAAAAGGTTCGTATTCTCTGTATTACTTGTAACTTTCATCTATATCCACACAACACAGTACACAATGATCATTTTAGTGACTGTTTATGTTTGCCTATGCAGTTTTTGTAGAGAAGTTATTAAGGATTCAATCAGATGTGAAGAAAGTGTATCTTCTTATCAGAGCATCAGATGATAATGCAGCCGCAAAACGTTTCTGTGATGATGTACGTCAAATCTTAAAGTTATTATTATTCGTCCATTTTATAGTGTACACACACACACACACACCCCTTACTAACGTATGTATATTTTTGGGCATAAATTGATTGATGGATATATAGATCATAGGAAAGGATTTGTTCAGGGTTCTACGAGATGAGATGGGAGAAGATTTTGATTCTTACATATCAGAAAAGGTAGCTGCAGTTGCAGGTGACGTTTCTGCTGGAAACTTGGGACTTAATGATGAAAACCTTGAAAAGCTGTTGGGAGAAATACAAGTTATTGTGAACTCAGCTGCAGTTACCCAATTTGATGAAAGGTAATTAACGTAGTCTATGCCTCCTTTTTGCATGTGCGCTTCAACACCATTTGTTTTATATTCACATCTTGTCTAAACTTTTCGGTGTGGTGTCACCGACTTACCCACACTAATGTTTTCGCAAAAGCTTGGTATTGTTCAGAGAGTAGTATAACCCCTCCTTTGATATAGAGAAAGAATTAGGAAGGAAAACTCCAAAAAATTATTAAAAGGGAAAATAGCAAATAAAGACCCCATAATATGTGAAATTGTGATTTGAGACTCTCAATTTAAAAAATAACAAATAAAGATCTGATCCCATATTGTAAATATGAAATCTTAATAAAATATTTGAAATGCCTCTCAGCCAAGTGACAAGTTGACTATGAAAAATAACAAGTTTACTCTAATGAATAACAATTTCAGTAGGCCAAATCACAACTTAGCTGAGAGTAATTTCAGACATTTCACTAAGATTTCATATTTGCAATATGGAACCGGGTTTCTATTTACTATTTTTCAAATTGATGGTCCCAAATTGTAATCTCCCATATTGGGGGTCCCAAATCGCAAAGTTCTAATATTTCTCTCATTCTTTCCCTTTCCAGACGAGGGCTAAAAGATGAGTGGTATACAAACGAAATTTTAAACTGGAAAAAGGGCCAATTTGTTTTTTGGTCAAACACACACGCACGAACAAAAATATTTTAACCAATCAACACTGCGCCTTTATTTGTTTTATATCAAATTAAAACATGAATTAAATCAATCATTCTTATATCATAAATCAATGATGAAGATAAGTAATATAAAAGTGTTATTACAAATTAATTTGTAATAATTTCCACTTTTAGCACATTACTGTAATATATATCGTGCGGATTTTTTTTGTTCTGGCCAACTATGTCATGCAGATTTGACGTTGCAATGAATGTTAACACGATGGGCGCTCTGAATGTCTTAAACTTCGCAAAGAGGTGTCAAAAGATACAAGTTCTTCTCCACGTATCAACTGGTAAACATGCATGTTGCTTCTTTTTATTCTAAATATAAGAACTAAATAACAATTTTAGAAGGATGAAGAAAATTAATTAAGTTAATTTTATCTAAAAAATATATATTAATTTTTCTAAGATACCCTTATTTAATGATTTACATTAAATATTGCTTAAAAACTTCTTTTAATGTGTGCAATTAATTGGCATAATTAAGAAAAAATTATAAATTTGGAAAATAAAGTTCTCTTTAACCAAAGAAGCTAAAGTATCTTGTTTAGGTACAAAACAACCTTTCAACCTACTATTTCCTACATTTAGAATGGGGTGAAGTAATTAATAATCTTTCTGGTAATGAGTTCTTTACTTAGGATCAGAGGCAACAGATCAGCTTCGTGGCTGCTTAATAGTATGTTTTGTTTAGCTATGTTGACTATTTAATTAACTTGAAGCAGACAGTAAATAAGCTAAACTTTAGTTAATTTCTGATTATTGCATTTCAGTTTTTCTAGCCCTCCCATCGGCCGCATGCCATCTTCATCGCCCAGCAGCTAAAACCCCGAATGTTCATATATAGGCGCAGACCTGAGCCAAACTTGATTTAGACTTGTGTGGATCATTACTAGACATATTTCTTGGTCTTGCATGGCTTCAGAAAAATTAGTCATATTGTGGCTTGCTGTAAAATTATACAATCTCTTATCCTAATTATAAGACATCGTTTGAAACCTTGTAGTCTACAAAGTCTTATAATTAGGACTGGAGATAGTATACTATATACAGATATATTTTAATATTGAGGATTATAGTATACTATATACACATATATTTTAATATTGAGGAGTATGACTCAAATTATTTATCGTAGCATATGTGTGTGGGGAGGCTAAGGACAAAGAAGTAGTAATACGGGAAGAACCCTTTAAGATGGGACATGCCTTGAAGAAGGTTGCAGAATTAGACATTCACGCGGAACTCGGTTTTATGAAGAAAAGAATGCAACAGCTCGAAGAGGAGAATGCTGATGCAAAGGCCATCTCAGCTGCAATGAAAGATTATGGACTTAAGAGGTTCTTTAATTATCAATTCAAAACCCCACATCTGTCTTTTTCATCCTTTCTAATCAATAACATGAACTAATGAATGCAAATTTAAATTAAAACTAAACAGGGCAAACTTATATGGATGGCCAAACACTTACGTATTTACAAAAGCAATGGGAGAAATGTTTCTGTCACATCTCAAGGATCCGATTCCGCTAGTCATCCTACGCCCAACCATGGTGACCAGTACCTACAAAGAACCCTTTCCTGGCTGGATTGAAGGTTTCAGGTATTAATCACTGTGCATACACGCTGGACATTCTATTATTAATTGTATGTAAATTACCTTCACAATATATAGAGATAATAAAAGTAAGGACGAAGCTGGAAAATTATATATTTTATGATTACAGAACAGTGGATGCCGTAATCGGTGGCTATGGCAAAGGAAAATTAACTTGCTTTCTGGGTAATCCTAAGACAATTTTAGACTTGGTAAGTATTTATATGTATTCCTTTCTTCTTTAAATATCCATGTTATAGAACAATCTATGCATGGTTGATACATACTATATTTTAGCGTAATATATATTATTTAAAATTTGAACCTCGGCCAGCGATTCATAATGACGATGATGATGCAGATACCTGCGGACATAGTAGTAAACTGTATGATGGCAGCAATGGCGAAACATTCGAATGAAGCTTCAGAGAATTACGCATACCATGTTTGTTCTTCGTCAAGAAATCCTTTTAGACTTTCATCTCTTCCTAATATCTTGTCTCTTTATTTCAAGAATAACCCACTGACCACCAAAAATGGAAAGCCTTTGATGATTCGATCCAAGGCAACATTAGCAAGCAACGCTCATTTCCATATGTATTTGCTGATTCAATATCTGCTACCACTCACGGTATATCATCTTCTACGTACACTTCAAGCTGTGCAAAACAATCTCTATCTCTCTCTCTCTCTATATATATATATATATATCCCACCCTAGCTACCTCATGTCTGTAAATATTAAACTGCATGTACTAATGTTTTTGCACGTTTTGGTGGATTTCAAAAGGGATTAAATTTAGCGAACAAAGTGCTTTGCGGAGGCTTCCAAGATGCTTACAATGGCAACCACAGGAAAATCAAAATGCTGACACGAATGGCTGAGCTTTACAAACCTTACGTCTTTTTCAAGGCTACGTATGTTTTTTTTTCTAATTTAATTATTCTCTTTTCATTGATTATTTCGTACTTATTTATGTTAATGCGTAAACTTAGCTTAACTTGGAATAATTAATGTTATGAACATAAAAATAACAGCTTCGACGACAGCAACACAGAAAAGCTGCGGAAGGCAACAACGGGGTGGGAGGGCGTTGGAAGTATTGATTGGAGTGAGTACCTGATGAGCGTCCACATTCCTGGCCTCGTCAAGTATGCAATTAAATAATCTTCCAAGTGATTTCCCCAAATTGATTAAATCATATAAAATAAATTGTACCAGATCAAGGTATTTTTTTGGGGAAATTGAATAAAAAAAAGTGGAATTGCATGCATGAATAATTATCAATAATTAGTTAACTCTAGTAATTTGAAAAATAAGTAAATAAATTACGAAGGTCGGCATGCTGGAGAATGTATCTTCGCCTCGTCCACTATCGTCCACTATGTATTGGGTTCATCTCCCATGGATAGCTTTAATATTAAATGAAAGCAACCATATACTACCTCGGATCTTTAATATAAAATATTGTTTAATTTTTATTTTGATCCTAAATATAAGATCCCTATTCATTTTGTCTCTCATATTTATGCATTTTTGTTCAAGGTAGTCTTTTTAACAACGGTAGTTCTAGCCAATGCACTTGATTAGTAAGGATATTTTAGGAAAGATAATACCTATTTATTATAAATAACTAACTTAACTTATTTTTTTAATCTTCTCAAATTAATCAACTAGCTCTTATAATTAAGAACAGAGGTAGTATTTCTTAATATATGCTGATCGGAAAGTTCGATGATTTGCATATGTATGAATTTAAACTCTAAGATGACGAGGATGCTCAAGGCAGGGAATCTGAAAAATAATTGTGCAATATAATCATCGTCGATATTTGGTATAAAATTATTCACAAATCATGAACAATAATACTCTTCTGGTTTTATATTTAGAAGCAAAGGGAGTATTATAGTTTACTTTTCCTGAGCTTTTCTTAGATTGTTTTTTGGCCCGGGGGGGTCATTTATAATCACAGTAGTATATTCTGACTCTCATGACCTGCACTGCATGAATAAATTTTTTTTTAATATTAATAAATTAATAATCAATTTTCATATTAAAAACCGAAAGTACTTCGATTCTTTTTGGATGCAAAATGAGTTTAACAGCCTCTTAGTTAGGTCCATGTATATATCATATGATTAGATTTCTGAGAGTTAAACTCAGCAAATGTGGCCCATGAAAAAATGCATCGGGAAAATAAAAGGACCACGGGGTATTTCGTATCCTTTTTACGCATTTTTGGAAACAAAATAACCACGCATATATATATATATATATATATATATTATCAAAATCAAAAAACAACGTTTATATTTGGAAATTAATTATTAAAGGGACCATAAGTTGAAAGTAGTTTCAGTACATCACTTTAATAGACACCCTAAACTTATTAGATCTTAATCATTCATATCTTATTTGGATGGTTCAAATATGATTTTTTTTATTTAAAATAATTATTTTAATATGTGTAGAATTTAAAATAGCGATAATTAACTATTATTTTTTTCAAAAAATAATTTTTATTTAAAAATATTTAATTAAAAATTTTAAATTTAAACTATTCAAATTATATATAGACAGTTCATATTTAATAAATTTAAAATGATTATAGATTGATATTAAAATGGGTCACCTTCAAGGTGTAGACGTACAGATAGTTTCAAAGAAATTTAGATGGGGAACCAAGAAAAGTGCATCCAAAATAAGAAAAAATTAATTTAACAGTCCTTATACTTTTATCAAAATTTAAATCAGGTTCCTGTAATTTTTTTTTTTTTATCTGACCTGTAATTTTTTTTTTACATTTTATTAGATCCTTATTCTTTACTCAGCCAGTAACGGAAGTCCTTCCGATTGTCGTTACCTTAAGTTGACAACACTGACGTCGCACTGTTCAACATCTGACTAGCATCATCTTTTTCATTTCACCTGTAACACCTACGCCTTCATCTTCTCTCTCCCGCACCTCCACTCTGTAAGATTCCTCAAATGCAGGTCGGCTAATTACTCTCAGATAGCACCTGCTTTAGTAGAAATTTCTCGATTTCACAAATAAAAAATGTTATTTTATATAATCATAATTTTTGTTTTCTCTATGCCACCAGGTCTATAAAATCCTATTTTTGCGATGACAGGATCTTCTAACAACTCCTTCCCCAAAATGGATATGTGTGTGTGGATAATGAAACTATTGGTTCTTCAAGTTTGTCTCAATCATTAATTTAGTCCTTAAAATGTAATAATTTTATTAATTAAGTATACAATGCGCAATTTTATATTCTTATTATTAATTGATCTCATCACACCAACAATTTTCTCTGCAATCCTTAAAGTGTTTTTATCCCTGAGCAAAGAGTAGTTAGATTACATGCATATGAATCGGTGGCTTCATTAATAATAAGGCCTAAATGTGAAATACTAAAAAAATTATGAATATATAGGATCTTAATTTCATTGGCCAATTAAGTGCCACCTAGCGTTAGGACTTAGGACTACCTGGGGACGTGCTTCTTACGCATAGTGATCTTTTGTCAATTAATTAAAAAGATAAGAATAAAATTTATAGGCATTTTTCAAGCTATTTCTAGTTATTACATATATGAAAGTGGGAGTTCCAGGGCAATTATCAGATAAGAAATTTCAGAAAAACCAATCCACATTTATTACAAATAAATAGTTTAACTAATCTTCTAAAATAGGTATAAATTGGTTATTTGGTTATAATATTTAAGATGAGAGGAAACGAAGGTGGTATAAATACAGCTTTAATTGGGCTAACAATACTTGAAAATGATCTATGTACATAATAGTAATTTTAAAAAGCCAGTCGGTACCCAGCATGGTCCAGAATTTGAGCACGTTTCTGGTAGAGGTTAGCATCAGGCAGATATTTTGCACATGAAGAAGGTAATACCTCCGGTTCATTTATAATATCTTATTTATAGATTATAAACAAAATTTTATAATTAAAACCAAAACTAATACTCCTCCGGTCCTTAATATAAGACCCATTTAACTAATTTGATTAGATTAAGGAAGTTAGGTAGTTAGTTAATTATAAAAAAGTGACACATTTTTCCTAAAACACCATAATCGTCTTTCTTAATACCCCCTCTTCCTCTTTTACTTGATTATGGTTGAGGGAGTATTCATAGGGGTAATTTAGAGAAAATTGATAAATATGAGAAATGGCTCTTATATTTAGGACCAAAACCAACTCAAGAATTGGGTCCTATATTAAGGACCGGAGGAGTATATAATTGCTGATGACTTGATATCCTATAAAGAAGCAGGTTGTGCATCGAAAGTGACGGCACTCACAACTACGTATCAAAATTTGATGAATCATAAAATTAGTTCTGTTGTGGACTTATGGTATTACTGCACACTAATAAAATTATCTCATGCTCCTCTGGTCATATTTTTTTGTCATATTTATAAAATACTGAGAAAAATTTTATATATAAATATACAATTTTACCTTTTATTTATTATTGTGTTTATTTTATTTACATTATATGAAGTATAGTAATATTAAATAAGGATAAAATTAAAAAATCGTTAAATTTTAAATACGAGTTAACAAAATTTAAAATTTTTCTTGATTTATGTTAAACTAGTTCAAAATGATTTATAAACAAGTCTAAAAGAGTATACTGTGAAATGCGCAAAAAAATAAGAGAAAACCATATTGGAAGTACCTATATTTTTTTTTAATTTCAATTGGTACCTATATGTTTTTTGTTCTTAAACTAAATCTTTATTTTTCCTCTATTAACATCATTAATCCTTATGTAGAGACTAAAAATATCAATAGAACAAAGTTATAAGAGCTAATGTTACTAAAAAGATAAAATTAAATGTTTAATTAAAGGAAAAAACACATAGGTACCAAATTAAAAATAAAGAGAAAGTATAGGTACCTTCAATATAATTTTTCCAACAAATAAAAGACAACATGACCTTAATTAGTTCTGAGCATTAGCAGCCAAGATGAAAATCAGACTCACGGCATGCATGCTGTGGATGGAGGGATCAAGTCAACGGCCACAATCTCTCGACTGTACAGGGGCAGGTAATCCAAGACGATCTCGTACATATGCGCAACGACCTAAAGTTAGGCGTACGCGAACAGATTGTTTCAAAGAATATTAGTATGATTAACAGCCTGTTTGGATGATGAAAAGCAGCTTTTGAAAGCCAAAAGCATGTCCGGCACTTTTAGAGGCGTTTGGATTAGTTTTTTTGTTGTTGTCAATTTTACTTATGAGCTGAAAAGCTTATTTTTTAATCATGATCATAAAAAAAACACATGAAATTTATTTATGATTTATGTAAAATTAATTTTTTAAAATTAAAAGATATTTTTATCTTTATGTTTATGTTATTCTTATGCTTCTTAACCAGTTTTTAGTTATTTATTTTTAATGTTCTTTTAAATAAAAATAATCTTTAATATAATTTTTGACAATATTTTTAATTTTAATATTATTTTTATTTATATTTATATAAATTATGTAAAGTATATCATCTAATTAATTATATAATATTATTTGGTTCATAAATTTTCACATTACTATAATTTTTAATTTAAATATATTTTATTTATTAAATATAATTTCTTATCATAATAATTTAAAATTATTATACGATGAAAACTTATATTTTTTTTATTATTTAATGAGAGTTATACCCTTTTTCACCATTTTACAACTAAATTTATTTATTCAATTATAATTTAAATAATTTTTTTACTTTATAAACTAATTTTTATAGAAACTGATCCAAGTATAAATCATATTAACAAATTTAATTTTTAGCAAATCTCTTTTTTTTTTAAGTTAGATTAAAATTTTTTTTTTTCCCTATCTCCGATTCTAATGTATCCCAATGCGATGGCTAAGTTATTTGCTGGCTCGCCACTTGCCAGGGCGTGTACCTGTTCCAACCGCCTTAATTGATGATGCATCAGCCATGTCAATTATCGTCGGTCACATCCAACTTTACGCGTCCAAAAGTCAAATTATTAATTAATACTCCGTCCCTTGCTTTTTCAGTATAATAAAAAATATTATTTATATAATCATAAATTTTTGTGTTTACGATGACGGAGACATCTGGATAATGAAAGTATTGGTTCTTCAAGCTTGCCTCAATTATTAATTTAGTCCTTAAAATTTAATTTTTATTAATTAAGTATGCAATGCACAATTTTATATTCTTATTATTTGATCCCATCGCACTTTTTTCTGCAATCCTTAAAGTGGTTTTATCCTTGACCGAAAAGTGTTGGATAAAACCAAACTATAATTTCAAAAATAGTTTCTGAAAAATAAATTTTGTGAAGAATAAATTTTATAAAAAAATGATTCTGATAACGTGATAGTGTTTGGATAGTTGTCATCAGAAGTATTTTTTATATGTGCTAATTACTAAAAAAAGTATAAATTAATATGATAATTACATAAAAGATTGATTTTATAATATATTTTAATTTGAAGGAATAAGATTGTTAATAATATATTTTTTACCAACATAATTAATGACATATAAGATAATATCATTAATAATTAATTAATATGTGTATATATATTTATAAAATATAAGATTAAATATGTCTATAAAAAATAATTAAGGGGTGTTAAAATCATGTTATAGTTGAGATTCGTTCTAACATGCATAATTATACCCTCCAATTTGAGCCAGAAGCAGAATGGATTCACTTTTTCTGAAATCATGATTTTGAGTCCAAAACCATAATTTGTTAATTTTGTCCCCTGTTTCGTAATTTTTTTTATCCAAACCATGGTTTGGGATGTTATCCAAACAGACCCTAAATAGTTACTTCTCTTATCCTATTTATAAAGTAGAAAGAAAATATTTTTTGATCCTATTTATGGGATATTGAGAGAAATTTTTTGTATGAATGTATAATTTTACTCTTTATTTATTATTGTGTTAATTTTATTTACATAAGGTATAACATATATTAAATAAGAATAAAATTAAAAATTTGTTGAATTTTAAATAAGAGTTAATAAAATTTAAAATTTTTCTTTATATGTGTAAAATATATTGAAAGTTACTTATAAAAAGACCAGTTAGAATTATGTCTTAAAGCAATTCCTCCCCCAGCCCAAAAAAAAACAGAAGTTTTGCCAGCGTCCAGTAAAAGAATCGGCGGCTTCATTAATAATGAGACCTAAATACTCTGAATTATCCAACAAAAAACTTTTGAATATGTGAGATCTTAATTTCACTGGCCAATTAAAGTGCCACCTCGCGTTAGGACTAGCTCGGGGCGTGCCTCTTACACACAGTGATCTTTTGTCGATTAGTTAGAAAGACAATAGTAATAAGATTTATAAGCATTTTTCAAGCTATTTCTAGTGATTACATACACAGAAGAGGGAGTTCCAGGATAATTACCAGATAAGATAGTTTTTCAGAAAAACTAATCCACATTTACTACATATAACTATTTTAACTAATCTTTTAAAATATGTATAAATTGATTATCTAATTCTAATACTTTAAGATGAGAGCACGACCACGGTGGTATAAACACAGCTTTAATTACAAAAACCAATCTACATTTATTACAAATAACTATTTTAACTAATTAATTTTTTAAAATATGTATAAGTTGATTATCTAATTTTAATACTTTAAGATGAGAGGAGACCATGGTGGTATAAATACCAAGGTACTGAAAACTGGACCAGCAACTGAACCGGTCAAAACAGCAAGTCAAGAGTTAGTGGGTCAACTCAAAGTTGACACAGGATTAGACCGGTAAGGAATTAAAAAATTAAAAATATATAAATTCTTATCACACCATCCAAAACTTCCATATCAATTTATTGGTGATCTGTGAGAGACCACGTGCATGCAGTTTATGCAATTCATTTGAATCAATAACAATCTGCCCGCTACTTTCACCAAAAATATAGAACGAATTAATATTATCATCTCCATTATAAATGCCTGGTGATAATTCCTTGCATACTACTCACCAATTCACCGTATAGTACTATAGCTACCACTTCATTCCTACAGTATATGTGGATATGGCAAGCGTACACCACTTTTTCAAACAAAAGACCGTTTTAGTTACTGGATCCACCGGCTTCTTAGCAAAAGGTTCGTATTCTCTGTATTACTTGTAACTTTCATCTATATCCACACAACACAGTACACAATGATCATTTTAGTGACTGTTTATGTTTGCCTATGCAGTTTTTGTAGAGAAGTTATTAAGGATTCAATCAGATGTGAAGAAAGTGTATCTTCTTATCAGAGCATCAGATGATAATGCAGCCGCAAAACGTTTCTGTGATGATGTACGTCAAATCTTAAAGTTATTATTATTCGTCCATTTTATAGTGTACACACACACACACACACCCCTTACTAACGTATGTATATTTTTGGGCATAAATTGATTGATGGATATATAGATCATAGGAAAGGATTTGTTCAGGGTTCTACGAGATGAGATGGGAGAAGATTTTGATTCTTACATATCAGAAAAGGTAGCTGCAGTTGCAGGTGACGTTTCTGCTGGAAACTTGGGACTTAATGATGAAAACCTTGAAAAGCTGTTGGGAGAAATACAAGTTATTGTGAACTCAGCTGCAGTTACCCAATTTGATGAAAGGTAATTAACTTAGTTTATGCCTCCTTTTTGCATGTGCGCTTCAACACCATTTGTTTTATATTCACATCTTGTCTAAACTTTTCGGTGTGGTGTCACCGACTTACCCACACTAATGTTCTCGCAAAAGCTTGGTATTGTTCAGAGAGTAGTATAACCCCTCCTTTGATATAGAGAAAGAATTAGGAAGGAAAACTCCAAAAAATGATTAAAAGGGAAAATAGCAAATAAAGACCCCATAATATGTGAAATTGTGATTTGGGACTATCAATTTAAAAAATAGCAAATAAAGATCTGATCCCATATTGTAAATATGAAATCTTAATAAAATATTTGAAATGCCTCTCGGCCAAGTGACAAGTTGACTATGAAAAATAACAAGTTTACTCTAACAAATAACAATTTCAGTAGGCCAAATCACAACTTAGCTGAGAGCAATTTCAGACATTTCACTAAGATTTTATATTTGCAATATGAAACCGGGTTTCTATTTACTATTTTTCAAATTGATGGTCCCAAATTGTAATCTCCCATATTGGAGGGTCCCAAATCGCAAAGTTCTAATATTTCTCTCATTCTTTCCCTTTCCATACGAGGGCTAAAAGATGGGTGGTAAATAAACGAAATTTTAAACTGGAAAAAGGGCCAATTTGTTTTTTGGTCAAACACAAACGCACGAACAAAAATATTTTAACCAATCAACACTGCGCCTTTATTTGTTTTATATCAAATTAAAACATGAATTAAATCAATCATTCTTATATCATAAATCAATGATGAAGATAAGTAATATAAAAGTGTTATTACAAATTAATTTGTAATAATTTCCACTTTTAGCACATTACTGTAATATATATCGTGCGGATTTTTTTTGTTCTGGCCAACTATGTCATGCAGATTTGACGTTGCAATGAATGTTAACACGATGGGCGCTCTGAATGTCTTAAACTTCGCAAAGAGGTGTCAAAAGATACAAGTTCTTCTCCACGTATCAACTGGTAAACATGCATGTTGCTTCTTTTTATTCTAAATATAAGAACTAAATAACAATTTTAGAAGGATGAAGAAAATAATTAAGTTAATTTTATCTAAAAAATATATATTAATTTTTCTAAGATACCCTTATTTAATGATTTACATTAAATATTGCTTAAAAACTTCTTTTAATGTGTGCAATTAATTGGCATAATTAAGAAAAAATTATAAATTTGGAAAATAAAGTTCTCTTTAACCAAAGAAGCTAAAGTATCTTGTTTAGGTACAAAACAACCTTTCAACCTACTATTTCCTACATTTAGAATGGGGTGAAGTAATTAATAATCTTTCTGGTAATGAGTTCTTTACTTAGGATCAGAGGCAACAGATCAGCTTCGTGGCTGCTTAATAGTATGTTTTGTTTAGCTATGTTGACTATTTAATTAACTCGAAGCAGACAGTAAATAAGCTAAACTTTAGTTAATTTCTGATTATTGCATTTCAGTTTTTCTAGCCCTCCCATCGGCCGCATGCCATCTTCATCGCCCAGCAGCTAAAACCCCGAATGTTCATATATAGGCGCAGACCTGAGCCAAACTTGATTTAGACTTGTGTGGATCATTACTAGACATATTTCTTGGTCTTGCATGGCTTCAGAAAAATTAGTCATATTGTGGCTTGCTGTAAAATTATACAATCTCTTATCCTAATTATAAGACATCGTTTGAAACCTTGTAGTCTACAAAGTCTTATAATTAGGACTGGAGATAGTATACTATATACAGATATATTTTAATATTGAGGATTATAGTATACTATATACACATATATTTTAATATTGAGGAGTATGACTCAAATTATTTATCGTAGCATATGTGTGTGGGGAGGCTAAGGACAAAGAAGTAGTAATACGGGAAGAACCCTTTAAGATGGGACATGCCTTGAAGAAGGTTGCAGAATTAGACATTCACGCGGAACTCGGTTTTATGAAGAAAAGAATGCAACAGCTCGAAGAGGAGAATGCTGATGCAAAGGCCATCTCAGCTGCAATGAAAGATTATGGACTTAAGAGGTTCTTTAATTATCAATTCAAAACCCCACATCTGTCTTTTTCATCCTTTCTAATCAATAACATGAACTAATGAATGCAAATTTAAATTAAAACTAAACAGGGCAAACTTATATGGATGGCCAAACACTTACGTATTTACAAAAGCAATGGGAGAAATGTTTCTGTCACATCTCAAAGATCAGATTCCGCTAGTCATCCTACGCCCAACCATGGTGACCAGTACCTACAAAGAACCCTTTCCTGGCTGGATTGAAGGTTTCAGGTATTAATCACTGTGCATACACGCTGGACATTTTATTATTAATTGTATGTAAATTACCTTCACAAAATATAGAGATAATAAAAGTAAGGACGAAGCTGGAAAATTATATATTTTATGATTACAGAACAGTGGATGCCGTAATCGGTGGCTATGGCAAAGGAAAATTAACTTGCTTTCTGGGTAATCCTAAGACAATTTTAGACTTGGTAAGTATTTATATGTATTCCTTTCTTCTTTAAATATCCATGTTATAGAACAATCTATGCATGGTTGATACATACTATATTTTAGCGTAATATATATTATTTAAAATTTGAACCTCGGCCAGCGATTCATAATGACGATGATGATGCAGATACCTGCGGACATAGTAGTAAACTGTATGATGGCAGCAATGGCGAAACATTCGAATGAAGCTTCAGAGAATTACACATACCATGTTTGTTCTTCGTCAAGAAATCCTTTTAGACTTTCATCTCTTCCTAATATCTTGTCTCTTTATTTCAAGAATAACCCACTGACCACCAAAAATGGAAAGCCTTTGATGATTCGATCCAAGGCAACATTAGCAAGCAACGCTCATTTCCATATGTATTTGCTGATTCAATATCTGCTACCACTCACGGTATATCATCTTCTACGTACACTTCAAGCTGTGCAAAACAATCTCTCTCTCTCTCTCTCTCTCTCTCTATATATATATATATATATCCCACCCTAGCTACCTCATGTCTGTAAATATTAAACTGCATGTACTAATGTTTTTGCACGTTTTGGTGGATTTCAAAAGGGATTAAATTTAGCGAACAAAGTGCTTTGCGGAGGCTTCCAAGATGCTTACAATGGCAACCACAGGAAAATCAAAATGCTGACACGAATGGCTGAGCTTTACAAACCTTACGTGTTTTTCAAGGCTACGTATGTATTTTTTTTAATTTAATTATTCTCTTTTCATTGATTATTTCGTAGTTATTTATGTTAATGCGTAAACTTAGCTTAACTTGGAATAATTAATGTTATGAAAATAAAAACAACAGCTTCGACGACAGCAACACAGAAAAGCTAAGGAAGGCAACAAAGTGGTGGGAGGGCGTTGGAAGTATTGATTGGAGTGAGTACATGATGGACGTGCACATTCCTGGCCTCGTCAAGTATGCAATTAAGTAATCCTCCAAGTGATTTCCCCAAATTGATTAAATCAATAAAATAAATTGTACTAGACCAAGGTGTTTTTTTTTTGGGGGAAGATTGAAAAAAAAGAAGAAGTGCAATTGCATGCATGAATAATTATCAATAATTAGTTAGCTCTAGTAATTTGAAAAATAAGTAAATAAATTACGAAGCGCGGCATGCTGGAGGATGTATTTTGGCCTCGTCCACTGTGTATTGAATTCATGTCCTATGGATAGCTTTAATATTAAATGAAACCAACCATATACAGAGTATTTATTAATGTGTGCTGATCGGAAAGCTCGATGATTTGCATATGTATGAATTTGAACTTTAAGATCACGCGCATGAAAAATAATTATGCAATATAATCATCACATCGATACTTGGTATAAAACTGTTCACAAACCATGAAAAATAATATTATAGTTTACTTTTTCCGAGCTTTTCGTACATTGGGGGGTAAATTTATAATCAAAGGAGTATATTCTGACTATAATGACCCGTACCGCATGAATAAAAATATGTTTTTAAAAAATATATATTTATTATAAATAATTAAATTAACTAATATTAACAAATTAATAATCAATTTTTATATTAAAAACCGAAAATAGTAATATCTATTTAATTTTAATTTTAAGGGCCGAAAGAAAATTTCTGCTCGTTTTTTCTTTGCACACATTGCGTTACATCATCGCAGTTAATATTTGACAATGACAACGTCTATTTTGTTGTTTTATTATCTCTATTCTAGGCCTTTAAGAAAAAGTGTTTTTTTTTTTTTTGATGCAAAATCTGTTTAACAGCCTCTTAGCTAGGTCCACGTATATATCATTTGATTAAATTTCTGAGAGCTAAAATCAGCAAATATGGCCCATGAAAATTGCATCTGGAAAACGAAAGGACCACGGGGTATTTGGTTTTTTTTTCTATTCGTTTTTGGAAACAAAATAACCACGTACATATATTATCAAAATAAAAAAACACGTATATATTTGGAAATTAATTATGTCTCAAGAAAAAAAAATTATAAAATAAATCTTAGAGATTGTCTTTCTTCATTTTAAAATTTATCATTCCAGGCTATTTAAATTGTTATTAAAAATTTTAATAATTATTTTTTTAAGACTTAATTGTAATTTTTCCAGTTAATTATTGAAGGGACCTCAAATTAGGTATACACACACAGATCGTTTCAAAGAAATTTAGATGGTTTCAAGTTAAATTTATTTTATTTATTGTGTTGCGTGTACCTGTTAGCCCTTATGGGAACGACCATAAATGTTATACGGATTATTAATATAAGAACTAGTAAATTAATTTAAGTATATTAAAAATATTAATTAAGTTAGTTATTTATAATAAATAGGTATTGTCTTTTTTAAAATATTTTTACTAGTTAAATATATTTATTAGAACTACTATTATATAAGAACTATTTTAAAAAATAATAATTATAAGAGGTAAAATAAATTAAAATTTTATACTTAAAATAAAATAAAAATTTAACCAGTTCGAAGTTGCAGAGGTGGTATTTGTTGGTATGATTAATGCGATAGCTAAGTGGGCTTGTCACTTGTCAGGCCGTGTGCCTGCTCCATCGGGGTCGTCAATTATTTTTTTTTAGTAGGATGGTATTGCTGCCTCAGGGTATCCCAGCACAACCGGCCAGACTAATCCCAGGTGCATTCACAGGTATCGAGCCCATAACATGGTAGGGAAGGCGCCTTGCGTTCCCGTTTGCAACCAGTCGGACCCAACCCTTACAGGCGGGTCGTCAATTATTATGGGTGACATCCAACTGTCTGCGCCTAAAAGTCAAATTATTAACTACCTCTCCGGCTTTTCTTTAAGAAAATAACATAAAAAAAAGCTTAAAATATCTAGAAACTTAAGAAGTTAAAATTTTAAGGGAAAAAAATGGTGCCAGATATATTTTATAAATATAATTTAAGGGGAAATAAAGAAAAAAATTATCAAGTACCACTTTCTTGCCTGAAAGTTTGACCTTAGTTATATAAATTAAAATATTATAATTTTCAACTTCTTTTTATGTTATTTTTTTAATATAATAAAAAAATGTTATTTATATAATCACAAATTTTTGTTTTCTCTATGTCCCCAGGTTGACAAAATCCTATTTTTACGATCACAGAATCTTCCAACAACTCCTACCACAAAATGGATATATGTGTGTGTGGATAATGAAATTATTGTTATTTATATAAATACAATATAATAATATTGGAAGAGAATATATATCATCGTGTCAATATAATCTTCACAAAAGAGAAACAACAAACTCTGCTTCTTCAAAATGGGGGTGGCAAGGGTAACACAGTTTCTCAGGGGAAAGACTATATTGGTCACCGGTGCAACTGGCTTCCTGGCAAAGGGTTTAGTTTCCTCTCTCTCTCTCTCTCTCTCTATATATATATATATACACATATATATAAATATACACACACTTTGAAATGAATTGTACGTTTCTGAATATACATACATTAAACATCTAAAAGATCAAAATCTTAATAGAAGATATGGTATTTGACCTGATATTTTAAAAATACAATCAAACGACTAAAATGTTTTTATATCAGATTTTTTTATAAAAAAAAACCTATCAAGCTGGTCATTATCAAGATATTTTTTATCATTGATTGTTCAACACTTGTTATTACTAATTCACAACTTATTAATAAATAACTTGTCATTACTAATATATTTTTTGTCATTTGTTATTTAACACTTCTGATTACCCATTCATAACTTGTTAATAAACTTTTTGAGATAAGGGTATTTTTATCATTTAATTATATTTGCAAAATATCATATCAGACATTACTTCATCTCCTAAAATTTTTAACCTCTTACATGCCTGAATCAGAATGTTGTGATCTCCTGTAGGGGTGAGCATTCGACTTTTTTGTTCGGTTATTGGTGATAATCGAATTAACCGAATAACCAAATAAAGCAAATTATAAATACTGAACCGAAACCGAATTAACTGAAATATTTCAGTTAGGTTAACCAATTAACCGAAATATATAAATATCAAAAGTGATTTTAAATTAAAAATAATAATAAAATATAATTACAATCATTAATTAATAAATGTTTCATCATTTAATATGATTTATTATAACCATATTTGTTGAATATAAATATATTTAAAGAGTTCATATAAATATATTAGAGGGAGAAGGGAGGAGGACGAAGAGTAAGGGAAGTGGGGATAGAGAAGAGAGCATGGGGAAGGAAATTAAAGGAAGCTTTTTTTTTTTTTTGACAGACTCTCTTTCTTTCACAGTCAATCTTTTCTTCTTTCCATGTCAGTAGCTGCTCAGTCAGATCACTCCTATCCAAAGCTAAGTGCATAACAGTGTGTTTGGATTTCCCATTCATCGAGGTGATAAGCTTGGGACTCTGAAACAAGTTCAAGATTCATTTACAGATTAAAGGCTGTTTGGGTGGGTTTTTAACCCAACTAACTCATGGAGGAAAAGTGCAATGCAGTACAATGCTTAGAAATATTAGCTTTCTTCGTTTCTAATGTGGAGTGAGAAAAAATGAAGATGAAAATAATGATAAGAGCATTTAAGTAGGTCCTGTCTTGATCCAATAATATGATTTTTTCCAGTAATAATTTAATTATTTTTCATTCATTATATTTTTTAAATTTATCAAATTATATACATGTAATATACTATCTCAAGTCCTTAATTAATATAAGACCCAATGAACTAATTTGAAGAGATTATGAAAGTTAAATAAATTACTTAATTATATCATATGTTATATGATCTCTCTAAAATATTTATGTATATAACTATATTATAAATAAATTTATAAGTCAGGCTATTTTATATCTAAATTTATTTTTTCATTACTTACCCAAACCAGTTTCAATTTATTAAACTCACCTTTATAAAAGTCAATCCAAACATAAATTAACTGACTTTTATCTTTATTCATGTTTCCAAAAGTCCAACAAAATAAAAGTCAATTTTGTCACTGTTAATCCAAACACACTCTAAGTAAACGGAAGGATAATGGAGCAAAAAGGAAAGGTGAAATAAAAAGAAAGAAAATTATAGGACCTGATTCAAAACTGGACGAAATTATAAGGACTGCAATATTAATTTTTTCTTATTATTATTATTACTACTACTTTCAGTCCTAATTACTCCGGTGCTAATTTATAAAATAAATTATACAACAAAATAAATTCTATATTTAAGACCGGAAGAAATAATTTGAATGGTAGAGCCGCCAACACAGCAAACTACTAAAAGGTAAGAAAATAATCGTCATCGGGCATGTTTGGATTGCAGTTAGAAACTGCAAAAGTGTCTTGGAATTTGTGAAACTGAGGTTGCAAATTGAGTTGGACAAAAACTATTGTTTGGCTAGGCTAACTTTTCCAACTAACTTCTGGCTTTCAATCTCAGTTGAACTCAACGGAGAAAAATATGACTTTTCAAACTGCAGTTTCAAACGGTGATTATTAAAAATGAGCATCCCAGATTTACCCTCATATTTTCTCCTTTGCCTCATCTCCTTCGTTAGTATAATGAGCTTTTATGCAGACCAAATGAATTTTAATTTATATGCATGTTTGTCAATTATGTATATTTAATTAATTATCTACAATGTGTTTTCAAATTTTTCTTCATAACAAATATTTTTATTTTATAATTTCACAAACAAACTATTTATATTTTATCATAATAATTTTACTTATTTTTTAAACAATTATCACATTAAAAACATAAAATTTCAAACACTACTATTCAATAAAGTTCATACCCTTTTTAGTCATTTTATAACTAAACTAACTTTTCTATTAATCATCCAAACAACTTTTAATTTTTTCAACTGACTTTTTAAAAACACATATTCAACACATACCCTATCTGACTTTTACTCTAACTTCAGTTACAAAAGTCAGTTGAGTTAGAAATCAGTCTTGCCCAACGCTAATTCAAACATACCCATCAAAGCCTGACAATGCACTTCTTCACTATTCATTCTCGCAAGTAACACTGGACACCTGAGTTAACTAGCAGAAAAATTATTGTAATT